TTTAGATATCTTTGGCGACAAATTCAGTGTTCCGTTAATCCAGTCACCACTGCCAGATTAACAGGAAACAGTTGCGAGTCCAACGGACGTGAAGCCGAAATTGGTTTCGCAGTTACAACAAGTCGATTTGTCAGAACTATACAAATCTGCTTCAATCAGGCTACCCAATCACCAATTTACACATACTACGATTTAATTCCTGCAATTACTCAGCAAGTAAGAGGTAAGTTGGATATTCAGCGTAGAAATTCCTAAGGACAAAAATAACTAATTCAACAGAATGCATCTTTCTGTGTTGATTTACTGATACGCTACGTTTTTTTTTCATTGGAACGTCTGCAGGTACACCCCGACCAAGTTGGACTCAGGGAACTGGAATATTTACATTAACCAACGTCAACAATCTTTTCACCCAAGCAACGCAAAGAGTAACCATCAATGCCCTACTCGGTCTACCAACCGGCAGTTTCAATGTTATCCAAAACAACAATAACTACTTCTTGTCCAGGGGACATCTAACGGCAACGAGTGACTTCTTCTATGCCGCTCAACAAAACAGCACTTTCCAGTTTTTGAACGCGTTACCTCAATGGCAAACGTTCAATGGTTTCAACTGGGATCAAGCTGAGACTGACGTTCAAGACTATGCTGAGAGTAATAATGTTAACCTACAAGTTTGGACAGGTCAGTTTTAGCTTTAGTGAATGCTAACGCGCCTTAAACCGACCTGAAATTAAGCGCTATTTAGAGAAATTGTTCTTCTGACGATCTTCATTCCCTCTAATAGAGCCGCGCTAACTTTCACTTAAAGAGTCATATACCAAAGGAGCGTTTTCTTAGGAAACCGATATACACAACATCTTTTGAATTGTGGACTTTTTGAAAGATAGAAGTTGTATTTCACTTAGCGATTTTTGGTTTGTTACGTTGGATGTTACGGGCCTGGACCAGTTCCCCTATGCTAATATATACATATATATATACAGGGTTGCTCATTAGTGCGTCAAAGTGCGATATCTCAGTAAATATGAAGTTTATAAGAAAATTCGTCCAACGAAAGTTTTTCACGTTTAAAAGGTCCACATTCTAAAATTACTTTCCAATATACAGGGTGCATCATAAACGTGTGGTAGTTACCAACTCTGGTTTTTTAAATGAAACCCCCCCTTTTTTTGTTATTTTCAGATTGGCTGGAATTGGTTCAATTTTAATTTATGTTTGTTTCAACCGTTTTACCTGAAAAATTTACGATTTCCGAGTTATTCGTAAAAATGTGAAAGTTTTGACAGCTACTG